TTCCGAATCCCCGAAAAAAGCATTATTTTTTGTCAAATATGCTTTCTTCAGCGGGCCCCAAAAATAAAACAACAAAAAAGTGGTACAAGAATCTTTATTGGGCTAGAACATACACAAATTTAAATATCTTGAAGACTATCACGACAAATAAATCTTTTTTTATACAATTCTTTGAATATGGAATTCATTATATAAAACGTTAAAAGCTCTGAAATGTTTGAAGTTAGAAAAAGATCACTGCGTTCATGAATATTTCAGAGCTAAACTTTTGTGGTTATAAATATATGAGTTGTAAACAATTATCAATTAAGAAAGTAATTAAGCGGGAAAGGAGTTAATTGAGAAAATAAGATAGTATTATGAACATGTTACATTCCTTCACAACTAATTTGAAAAGTTTCCGAAATTAGCAGTTATATATATATATAAACATTATTTGATTTTAAAATATTTTTTTTTGTTTTATAGACTCTTAGGGAAGATTTATATTTATACATAATTCATCTATCTCTATATATTAATGTAGGAGATACTAAAGAAAAAAAATAACAGAATAATATGTTATAGTATATATGTAATTTTTTCCTATGAGCAAAATATTTTTCAGAAGTAGATGTTTATATTAGTATAACAAAAAGTGAGTGGCGTAGTAGATGTGTGTAATACATTAAATATCTTAATACGAAATACATGTTCAATAAATATATTTTTGAAATAATGAAATAAGTAAAAACTTGAATAACAATAGTCAAATCTGTAGATGAAGAAAAACATTTGACATTATTATATAAAAGTATTTGTTGCCAAAATTTGTTAATTGATATATGACTGAATTTAAACTGTATATAACTAGATTTTATATTTCGTTTATTAAGGATCCCATTTAGATAAATAAGGAAGATACAAGTTGCTTATTTAATATGTTTATGAATGACAACATGAATTTTACTTTTTTTTTAACACAATAGTTTTTTAGATAACATTTAACGATGGTACGTAACATAACATGGTACGATTTAAGCAAAATTTTTTAATTTAAGGATTTTTAAAATTTTTTTTGGTTGCCTCCTATGTATGTATACTATGTTAAAGAGATTTTGTGCTCAAAATTTCATAAAAAGTTATCCATGTAATTTTTTAAGGAAAAAACTTCAAATTTGGGAAGTGATTTTAAAATGCTACTCCTCCTACAAAATGTACGTACATGCTTGAAATTTGATTTACAAGTACGTCAAATTATATATAGTAACAGTTGGTATGGAGTTTTGCGTTAACATGATTGGTATTGATACAATGCTTCTTTTTAAGAATGTTTATTGAAAATTCCTTAAAAAATGTATAAATTCTGAGTTCAATTATTTTTAAAAAAATAAATATTGCTTTGATTGAAAAATGCATACCAAATTTTGTTACATGTACTATTATAGCAATAGGTAAAAAAAAATTCAAATCATTAGGTGGAATACAAAAAAGCCTTAGCATTTTAAATGAAGACAAACTAGTTATTTTATCTTTCTGAGATAAGTCAGTTTAAAGTTTTGATTTGCCATAGAGATGTGAAGAAAAACAAACGTGAAAGCTATCATAATTCTGCGTTTTTTAAGTTTTAATCTTTCAAATATTGTGAGGTTATAGAACAATATATATAAAATAATTTAGACTAAAAAATTTAAATTTGATTTTTTGACCAATTTTGGTCAATTGAATCGTACTGTGTCCCCTTAAACAATATGCATAAGTAAACAATCCTAAAATTAATTTAAATATACTACATATTCTAAATGTTTTATACTGAGAAGTGTATTAACGTAGTATGAAATTACAAATTAAAGAAAATGTTCACTTAAAAATTCATGAAATTTTCAAAACATTCTGTGAATTTTAAATAATTATTTTTTGAAGAATTTTCAGACTTTAATAAAACAATATTAATTCCGGTATATAAATAATTAAATGTTAGAGATTTCAAATACATACTTTCAAAATTGTACAAGTGAATTATTGCTTCTTCCAAGTAAATTACAAGCTATTAAAATGTAGGAAGGAAGAAGTAGATATATAACTATATGTTAAAAATTTTGAAAGGTATATATAAATGCAAGGGGGGGGGTGGAAATGTAGAAGCAGTAAAACTTCCCTGGGGCCACTCATGAAGCAGCAGTATAAGAGAATAAAATAACCAAACAAAATTCTAAAGAATATAGCTAAATGGCCACCGGCTTGATGGCGTAGCAGATTTATATCTTGAGGTATGTCATCTTGTGTTTGGGGTGAAGCGAGCAACTTTCAAATGTAATTTTTCTTCGTCTTATAAAAGATCTTTTCGGTGATCGGGTAATACTGAGATTATGGATGATTTTTTTTATTCACAGTTTATACTTTGAAGGTGTGTTCTTTTTAAAATTAAATCCGTATTTATTACAGAAATTCTATGCGTGTGCGGATGTTTTTTCCCCCCAATACTAATTGATGTACAATAGCTCAAAGAGGTTAAGTGGATATATTGAAAAAATGTTATTTATTTTATGCTAAAAAAACAAAAAAGACAAAAAAACGACTTTGTGTGTATTTATGTACGCAAGTAAGAAGTTATACTTCTTTGGCGTAACAAGATTAAAATATTTCTAAGAATCTTTAGCATTACACGCTGGGACAAGGACGAAAGGCGGTCACGAGCAGAATTGAACAATACTAACCTTCAGTCAATCGGACCAGCCAAACCTGAGATAATCACGATTTAAACAAATTCAAACACCCCCGCTCAGGGACAATAGGACCAATAACACGGAGATTTCAGACTGTATCTGGAGATGAAGTGAGCCGAATGTGACATCTGATACCTCATATTGAATGTCTGGGCTGGAAGAATCGTTCCTGAGAAAATTAAGATATCTGCCTGAAGAGCCCCCGCGTTATAGTCATTTAAAAAATTATTAAAACATTTAAAACAATTAAATAAATTAGAAGCAGAGCACCCAGCAACTCAAAACTAGGCCTGGTTGTGAGCAAACACAAGAGGAATCCATTAGAACCAGTCCGCAGTCTGTAGTTGCAAAAGAGGCCGTGCTAGCTTGGGAAAGGAAAGCACAATTAACTCCCTCCGGAGGGCAGTAACTGTGAAGTAAATGGTCACGTACATCCCAATGATACACAGAGTAGTAGGTGATCAAAAAGTTTCATCCTTCTATCTCTGTAATAGCGTTACGTCATCAAAAGATTGAACCCCATAAGAAAAACATGGGGATTATAATTTTAGGGATAACGCCCACCCTCTAAGCCCACTATCTACACACGAATTATAACAGATGAAACAGTTCAACGAGGAAAACCTATGGTCCGAGTTTCATTAACGAATCTCAAAAATCCTTGGAGCTATGCGAGATTTAAAAAAAAATTATAACTTTAAAATAATTTTAAAATGATAAAAATGGGTAAAGAAATGGGGCTATGGTCCTGAAAACCAATATCTAGGATGCTCATAGGAAGAACAATCGAATTCAGCCGGTGCGGTCGACCAAGGTAGCATAGGATTCTGGTTATTTCTGGGGAAGCCCTGTAGGGGGAGGGGGCCAATTCAACGTAAAGCTCGCGGTAATACGAAAATATAGCGGACCTCCAAAAATCAAGTTCCAAGCTCAATTCCCTAGGAGGGTGAAATTTTTTCCAGTCCCCATAGCTCAGTGGTACAGCATTCGACTACTAATCGAGAGGTCCTCGGTTCTAACCAAGGTGCCCACTCCTTCAGGGAAGTGAATAGAAATATTTTTTTCTGAATTTATAAGGCGGGAATGATCTGTCCTTTCTGCATATTTCTAGACAGAGCATTTTCGTATCCGTTCCTAAGGAACGCAAAGCAAAGGTTCTCTGGCACGGGGTGTATAGCTTAGTAGTACAGCATTCAAGTGCTAATTGAGAGGTCCCCAATTCAAACCAAGGTGCCGCCTTCTTCAGGGAAGTGAAGAGAAATATTTTTTTTGAGAATTTAGAAGGCGGGAATGATCTCTCCCGTTCTGTATATTTCTAGACAAAGCATTTTCGTATCCGTTCCTACGGAAAGCAAAGGTTCGCTGACGCGGGGGTATAGCTACGCGTGGTAGAGCAATCGACTGCAGAATGAGATATCCACGGTTCAAATCCGGGTGTCCTCTTCTTCAGGGAAGTGAAGAGAATTTTGTTTTTGAGAATTTCAAAGGCGGCAATGACCTGCCCCGTTTTGCATATTTCTAGACAGAGCATTTTCGTATCCGTTCCTACGGAACGCAAAACAAATGTTCGCTGACCCGGGGAATATAGTTCAATGGTAAAGTATTCGACTGCTGATTGAGAGGTCTGGGTTTGAAACTTGAGTTTCCTCTTCTTAGCTGGAAGTGAAGCGAAAAATTTTCCTGAGAAGTTTGAAGGCGGCAATGATCTGTATCGTTCCGTATATTTCTAGACTAAGCAATTTCGCATCCATGACGGTTTTGCGTCACATCCGTGACAGTGTGCGCACGCATCCTAAAAATTCACCCTCATCCTATTTTTCTAACGCCCCAAAAGAAGTATAACTTTAAAAAAAGCATTAACAAATTGAGAGAGAGAGAGAGAGAGAGACTTCATGTATTAAAATGGCGACAGATTAATTTAAGCACATCTAGTAAAGAAAAAAATATGTCTGCATAGTTAAGTGTTATTAAAAAACTTTAGCAATCAAGTGGACGCGTTTTGAAATAAGTAAAAGACATACGATGTAAAAACGTTTTAAAAATACTTTTAACTGGAACATTTAATCTTAATATTCGACGCAATAATGGACTGAACAGAGTGCATGTATCACACACACACAGTATCATCAATCCTTTAAAATGTTTTTCGACTTCCAAAATGCAGTTGAAGAACATTATCCTTATTGATTTTTCTACTATTATTTGGAGCATATATTATTGTTATTTATATATAAAGAAACGATGTGCTTTTTATGTAAAAATAATGTTGCTGTTAACAATATTGCTCTTTCGTTGAAAAATGTTGTTCATACCCTTAATTTCAAATTATCTGTACCGAATTAAGTAGACAATGTTGAAGACTTAGAGCTTATTTTGTCCAAGTGGAAACATTTTGTTTATGAATAAAATTATTAAATATCACCAGATATTCGACATATGAGCACTGGCAGATATTTTGTCGGCTGTTTGTCATCAATTATAGCTACTGTTTGATGTGAATTGTATTGTAAGATTCTTTGGTGTAGAAAACGATTTATTTTAGCTGAAACATAGTAATGTGGTATGTGTTTAGATAAAAAATATATTATAAATTACTGTATTGGTATAATATATTTGTCACTCAGAGAAATTATTTCTTAAAGGTGTGTTCCCACATGGGTGCGAAATATATACTTGGTACTTCATGAACAACCTTAGCGCATGAAATATTTTTACTCGTTTAAAATCTGTGCAGTCCAATCTCATAGCAATGAAACAGTTTTCTTGAAAACATTCAGCAATTTTATTTGCCTTTTTTGCCTCATGACTCCTGTCACAAGAAGATTTTGATATCAGTAAATGGTGAATCAATTTAAAAGGAATTCCTTTACTCTATTTTTATCAGCAGCTTAAATTTATACTCTGACGAGGTGTCTACGGCGATGATTGCACTGCAAAATTTTCAAATTTTGGAAGTTGTAAATACGGTCCTTGCAAATCGCTGAATGATTAGTTCCATCCTTAATGCAATTGATTTTTTTTTTGCCGTGGTCAAATGAAAGTAATTAACTTTTTTTTTTGAATTTATCATTTTTACTGGTTGGTTTATGATGCTGCTGAGATGAACATCTATTCAGTCGGAAAACGCTTATATGAGTATGTAAACAGCGGAGGAAGACAGAAAGGAGGAGGATATTAAACGACTCCTCTCTCTCTCTTAATGATCGGTTCTAATATTTTTCTTATTTTTCAAAAGATTGTTTTGAAAGTGGAGAATGTGAAGTAGACCAGTCCTAGAAATGGCAGGGAAGTCAGAGAATTGGCAGAGAGAAATACTGTTTATCGGGTAATGGAGCCAGTGGTTAATTTACGAAATGGTGGGAGGATGATAGAGTGGGGTGTGAGAAGGAAGTTTAGGACTATTGTAGGTAGGAATTTTATTATTGGGTGTGATTCAGGGAAGTCAGTGTGCGATATTACCGTTAAATATTGGGGATGTGTCTGAAAAATTCCAGCTCACTATAAACGAATTTCAATTTCTCAGAATATCCTTATAAGCATTTGAAAATAATAGTTAAATATGAGTTCACTTAAGACGAATGAAAAAATTTGCTATAGTGAGTGGGTGAATTAATATTAGCGTCGCACTGTTCAGAAACACGAAGTCTTTTGGTGACGGACCTCGTAACTTTGAACCATGGTCAAGTGACGAGGACGACTCTTGAGCTGGCACCCCTCTTCTAACTACTACACCACACCAAAGGGAGGACGCTTGAGCTCTCGACAGATTTAACGTGCATCGCTCCCCTACACGGTGAATTTTTAGTGGTTCTGGGCTCGAACTCATGACATGCCTGCCATGATCCGATACCTTGACCAATGTGCTACCGCAGCTAAAATTTGCTATAAGTTTACATCTATACTTAATGCATGAGCTGACAAACATTTCATAGAAAATTTTTAATTTATTAATAAATTTATCGTTACATCAATTACTTTTGTTATCCCTTTTAACTTGATAAAATTGATTCAAATTCTTTATCTTTTAAATATGACTGATGAAATTTTATTTTTTTCATTTTTATTAATTTCTTGTCTTTAATTGTTTTTATACTTTTAACTAATTAGAATCACACACAACCTACCATTAGTTATGTAATGAAATATATTAAAATTTTCAAAACGCTCAAAATACGACAAACGCCAGATTCTTCCATGTAACTGGATGATCTATTATAATTTGCACAATAATTTTTGAATTTTTGGAATTAAATTGCACTTACACCACCATTACGTGATAAAAATCTACGGTATTTCCATGTTCTATGAGAGGCACCCGAAACACTTCAATTCTGTTTTCCAACATTTTTTTTTAGATTTAAATCGTTTTCGAAGCAATATTTTTTGAATATTTAGCAACTGATGTACTAGCGTGAAGGATTTTTTTGTAGTCTAAATGATACTTTTGGCAATGAAAAGGGCATATTCAAAACAGTGGAAATATTTATTTCAGGTCTGGAATTTTTTTCAATGATATTAATGACTCACAAATCATTGTTTGTTTTGTTCCTATAAAATGTACACAATTATTTTAATACGCTTCGATCGTAACCTTATGTTCTACCGATTTTTAATACAAGCTCAAATTGTGATGCTACTTCCAAATTTTAGTTTACTTATATAACAAAATGGAAAAAAATAGAACACAGTAATAGCACTACAGCCGATTCTTACATCTATTTTTCGATAGTTTTACAGTATTTCTTCGTCGTCGGAATCATTATATTCAAATGTTTACTAAATTAAAAAAATTCCTTAACTCTTGTGGTGGTATCAGACCAATAAAAAAACTTAAGAAATAATTTGATTTTTGATAGAAAGATGTTTCATAAAACTATGTCATATTCGTTACTTTTAAAACCAAATTTCACGACAAATAATTGAAATATTAGTGTAGTGTAAATGTTGATGTGTTTCTTATGTCATACAACAACATAAAAGTTCACTTTTTCATTTCATAAATTACTGCACAAAATGAATAATTATTTAACTTTCTGTTATTTGAATTGATATTTAATCAGTATTCCATTTGAGTTGGCTGACATGAAACATATATTTTTAAATCATGATAACTTTGTTGCTATTAATCTTTGACCCCAAATAAAAGAAATGTAGAAAGCTAATGATATGACATTTAACGAAATACAATCAAAAGTATTGATACATTTTATTAAAAAATATAAAGGAATTGTCATCTATTTATGATATTTCTTACTGAACTCATAAATTTGTTAAATTCAATGTTTACGTAAAATTTAGTCACTTTTTTTCTCTATACTAAGTAGGTATATATAAGGAGGGCATGCCCCACTATATTTTCTGGGTAAAAGACTACAATAAATATATATCGAACATCAATATATTTATTAGATAGGTTCAAATAATAATAGTAAACTAGTTGCAAATTCGAATTTGAAATCCATTTTTATAGAACACACAACACCGAAGTGCAACACATTACAATTAATAAAACTATATATTGAATTATTTTCACTTAGTCTCAGTCCAGGAAGATTCTTATTTGGTTACCAACAGAAATTTTATTTAACTGAAATATGTGACCATATTACAAGTAGAAGTATTTACGCAAACATGGCACACAGTTATTAGAGGTGAGTTAAATCTGAAATATTATAAAGGAAGTAGAGGAAAAGAATATTTAATTATACATAAACTTTAAAAAATAGTATAAAAATAAAATTTTAATGTAAAATTTTATTTATTCTTTTTTATTTTAACTTTGGTTACTTTTTTTATTATTTTAATAATGAATTTATTTTTAGTATTAAAATTTTTAAGTTTTTTTTGTTTTATTAAACAGAGCTTTTACACGAAAATTGAGGACTACCAAAAAAGTGAATCACCAATTATATGATTGGCATTTAAAACTGTACTTAATCTTATTTTTTTCATTTTTTCAAAGCAAACTACTCAAGATACCAATGTAATCTTGTTTAGTCTTTTTTTATTGCAGCGTTTTTTTACAATTTTCCTAGTTGTTAACATTAAAAACATATATATGTGTCGAAATCAAAAAGATAATGGAGTTGCCATTTAAACCATCAACATTTGTATCTGGTCCTGGTTATGTGGAGAATAGTAGATTGCTATAATTTATGACAACGACACATGTGATTTGTAATCATGTTATTAAAACTGTTTGCGTCAGTTTCAGATGTGTTGTTTTAGAAATATTTTATTTCTTAGTATAAAATAAAAATAATTGCAGATAATTTCTGTACATTGTTTAATTTTTAATCTAAATATTATATTGCGTTTTGTCATTTTTCTTTTGAAATGTTCTGACGTTCATTCGTTTATTTGTTTGATTTTATACGTATTATTGTTTTTTTGTTCCACTGATTCTACTTTTCGCAGCAAATTAAAACCCTTTTTCGAAAAAT